ATCCGATAAATTATAGCACCTGTGACGAGTATGGCATCCCAAGCCGTTAATAGGTTATATTTCTAAAATATGCTCAAATAATGATTTAAAAAAAAAAACGTCGTTATTAATTACATTAAAGAAGACTTTTTCTTCTTTAAATGGAATGCACTAAGCGAACTGATAATCTAGATGTTGGGGTTTACCATTAAACTGCTTATATATAGACAATCCCGTTGAATGACGTAGAAAAGGAGAACAAAGTCTCCCTTAATGTATTTACGCACGTTAGAGTTTGATATTACTGTAAATTTACATTATATAGCTCCTATAAGCTCAACAGCTGTGGAAAACACTGCAATGAATTAAAAATGGAAAAATGGAAAAAGTGAAAAATTCTCAACAGGAAAAAAAAGAAAAAAATGAAAATCCGGCATTCGTCTTAAAGCGAAGCCTCGTCACATTCACAACATTTATTGCTTACGTCGAATCTATCATATGTTGATAATTAAATAACAAAATTAATTATCAATAAGATAGTAAATACATACATACATACATATAAACACTTAAAAAAACTTGCAGTTTCATTGGCACTTCTGACGATTGAAAGTATACGCAGTCATTAAGTAAAACTTTGAAATCCGTTTCGACAGAAATTTAAATCTTAGCGTATCTATGTTTGCTTTGATTTTGAATATAACAAGTTTGAGAATGAAATTAAGCAGAACATAAGTTGCATTGAAAGCAGAAAACTTTTCATTGATTATAATGATTATTATTAGTTGTAGGTGTTGTTCCTATGGGATATGATACACATGCCGTAATATACGACAATTCCTCATAAGCTTTCATCTAAAGTGAAAACCTTACACTATACAAACGACTCGTTTTATACCATACATTGCGTGTCCCAAAAAAATTTATAGGCACATTGCGTGATTATAAAAACAAAGTGCTTAGATGAATTATAGACAAAAAGTACAAATTAAAAAAGACAGACGTAGAATTTGTTTAGTCAGCGCAAATATAGAAATTAATGCTCAGCGTTGATCCATACACTGCTGATAATGCAAAGAAGTCGCAAACGTGGCAAACCATTTCTTTGGGAGATTCGGTACATGCTTAAACGATTTCCTGGCGATCGTCTGTTGTCGATTTTGTCACGTAAAATTTATCTTTGACGGGTTTTAAAACAACGCCGAGCGCGGGCACGATTCGATGGCGTATATTCGCACATTCTCATTAACATAAGTTCTCATACCACTATTATAACCGGAAGGTACTTCATTTTTCCTCCAGCAAATTGAAATAAGCGGCCTCAGTCATAGCGTTATCAAAAAAGAATGGTCCAATTATTAAAGTGGGTATACCTTTTTTTTTCTGGGACACTTGGCATATCAATTTTCGAGAAATTTTGATGAGTTTTTCGTTCTAGTTAATCATATGTCAAGCATGATACGTGGATCTAAAATCGAATTAAATGCATGTTTAAAAGAAAAGCACAAATTGATCGATCATGTTTTTGTTTTCTAGGCAAAGATTTGAGGCTGTGAGGGTCATTTGAAAACTTTCTAACCTAAGTAAGGAGAGAATTCGTTTTTATTCGTTAACGTAATGTATTCCTAGCATGATGCAATTAGTCCAACGGTTCGTGAACATTTCGGTAGCTTTTTTATGGAACAATTTGATAATGAACTCAAAATACGTTTTAATTTCTATAACGATCTAATCGTTCGATGCAACTCTTTTTACACTGAATCAATCGATAATAACCATTGATGTTGTGGCATCGGGAGAATCTCTTCCAAACACGTTAAATATATATAAATATATAAAATCTCTATGTGCTATCTTTGTAACCTTACTTCAATGATTGTGCAGTAATATTTGCAACAATTTTTGAGCGACTCGTATATTCATCATCCCCTTACTTGGTACGCCCACGTTCTAATTCAGCTTTTCAAAATTTCGCAGGCATTAGTACTATGGACGAAAGTTCCCGCACATAACGTCCAAATCGTTTTTAACCCTTACATGTATACTATTGCCAATTGTCTACATTTCAGTTACACACATTTTTATCCAAAACCTTAAGATGTGCGTTTCCCAACACAAGTTGATAACCACAAACAATAAATCATTTATGGAAGAAAAAACTTGACATTACTTTTAGCGGCTAAGTTATATCTTTTTTTGACAATTGAATGTGGTGGGTGATAAAGCTCAGTGTATTACTTGAAGAGATATTTTTTATTTTCGTGGTCTATCGAATTGAAAAAGAATTACTTCTCATCTGTTTTCATGTAAGCTATCAATGTTTGACGTTGCATTTGAAAATGTTATTGCGTATATGCCAGATTTTTCGGAAATATTGCATTTGTCCGAATGTCTACATTATGCGTTGTAATGTTACGAAACCAAATTACGAAGTAGCTGAAAGCCAAATACTCATTCATAACATTTCACCTGCCTCTTACAGCTGACTCTGTACCTATGAGGAACAGGTGGCGGATTATGAAAGTCGTGATATTTCACTGACAAGCTTGTCACACTAGCATCAACCTCTGTTGGAAACAGAATCAACAGTCGCAAGTGGTATATTATATTATTTTATCACATGGGATGGGACTTATGATGGGAATAAAAGGGCAAGACCCAGTAAACTAGAAAGTGAGGTAGAAGTTAAAAAACACTGAGATCCCACGAAGCCTGTTCCGCCAAAAGATGTACGGACTGCAGGTAATAGATGCAAATTTCCAGGTTGCAAAGGATTTTCACGGAGCGAATTCATCAAATTGTAAGCTGGCTTTGTGTCACAACAAAACTCGCAATCGCTTTGTGGTACTGCATTAGGAGCTTCCGCTAATTTCCACATGGGAATGTCTTTTTCAAGTGAACAATTGACCAAAATTCCTATAATAATAAATAAAATAAATACATGACCATTTCTATGCGCCTACAATAATTTTGGTAATAAACACATATTGTTGCCAAAAGTCTACATATCACTTTTTTTATATTTTTTACGTAATCTACGACTGCATTCCCAAAAGAGACAATATTTTCGAATTGAAAACAAAAAAGCAATGCATTTAAGGGTTAATTTGTGCTCGTTTTACTTTTCGAAACCAATAGATGCTTTCAAGAAGTTTGTTCCTTGAAACTTCGGAATTTTTCCTAAAACGCTTCGAAAAGGGTTACCTGCGTCAAATAAGTCTCTCCTGGAAATGTACGGTCTAATGTGTAACGTATTGAGTTCTTATCTCCTCAACACTAACTTAAATTCATCAGGACTATTTAAAAAATGAACGGGACAATTTTATGGCTTTGGACTAGCAGATTGATGATGTCAAATTTTAAACAATGCAATTTTTTATCCTTTCATGTCGGCAGCCTGTAACACAACCCGAACAATTTTCACTCTTCTCCATTCTAACTTCTAACGATATGTTTAAAGTATCATTTTAAAGAGTAACAAATAAGGAATCTCCGATAAGTTAGTTTAATTTAGAGATTGTAGTTTAATTAGAACAAATCGCACAAGAAATAATATAATGTCCCCTTCACTACCTGTTGACAGACGTGTTAATTAAGTGATTTGGATAGTCATTAACCTAGAATAGGGGTATGTATATTCAATTTGTCAAAACGTACACGTTTTGTCGATCGATATCAAATTTTGAATTCATTTAGATATGTTTGTCCGTCCGCCTGTCCATCTTTCCATTCGTTTATTTATTTGCCTGAGATGGCAGAAACCGTTAAAAAAAAAAATAAATGCTTCTTCTTCTTTTTTTAGGACTATGTTACATTAGCCGAAACATATGTTACATTAGCTGAAAACGCCTTCGGTTTCTTTGCGTACTTCAATGCATTTACTTTATATTGATAATGGTTTTGTTTAAAGGTAACCTCTTATTATCTTTGATAAGGACACTGCTTAACTAAAGTGAGAAACGTCTTTTTCCACATGAGCCGTAATATGCTTAATGAAAAGCCAATTATTAATAGGAACAAGGTGTTTAACACTTGCTCTTATTTAAGTATCAATCCTTTTTTAAACGACGCAACAGATACTAGATATTCATAAGGATTGTAAAATCAATTATTGGTAATTTTGAAAAACAATAATAGGCTTGCAAAGGCACAATTTAGTAAATAAAAGTACAAAAGGGGAATGTGGGTAAAGATGAGCGAAGAAAAAACATATATGCTATAGAAAGTAAGGAGTATAATTGTTGTTAACCTATTTGCCACAACACGAACACAACAGGAAGATGCCATCGCGGAGTAAGGTAATTGTAATCAGCTGGTATGTAGGGAATACTACACGTCCTTGTTGTTAATTAGGATGCCAAAGAAGTAATTGTGCGATTAGGTGCTTGAAATTGTGGGCCCATATCTGCTCCTTGTAAATTTAAAAATCAAAAGTGCCCGAACTATAGATCTGCGAGGATCCATCTGGACAAATTGCACGCATAAAGAATGATTATATGAGTTTCTCAATGCGTACGGAAAGTTGGGTTGTGGGAACGGCAGACCAAGTAATTGGTGGGCACAATACACGTTCGGGGTGTAGGGTGGTGCTACGGTTACTACAAAATCGCAGGCGCACTACATAGTTCGCCTTGTCCAGAGTGGAGAGTTTAAACCGTACACAAACTCCCATGTCCAGGACAAGTGATGCAGGATTGTCTTGCGAACACGTGGATGCAAGCTATCGCCCGCATATCACTCGTAAACATTATGATTCTAATAACAATAGTGCTAATGTTAAATATTACGGTCAAGCAAAATATTTTATCGGTATAAGTAAGAGACTTCTCGAAAATTGAAAACAACGAAAGGTAATCGGGCAATCGGTTCTATAGTTTTGGTTTAGCAACTACATGTTTTCGTTTAATTCTCGTAAGCATTTCAAATTTACATAAAAGTTAAATTTTTCTCACACACGTACTCTACACAGACAAGAAAATTTTCTGTAAAAATGCTACTAGATTTCTTTACAATATATTTACCTCAGGTATACGTGTGATTCATGATCCAAAAGCGAATTTAAGTTTCTTATCAATTTTTCTTATTTTTATCTCGCTTCCACATACTCTACACGTATGTAATTATAGTTAAGTTGCAGTAGTTTTTTTAAAACTCTGCAAGAAGTTGAAGTTAACTACATAATATACGGAGATTACGGGTAAATGACATTTAAACTTCCTCCCAAGATTAATATATTACTTAGTTCTTTTTCTTTTCTTTTCTTTTCTTTTCTTTTCGTTTCTTTTCTTCTTTTTTTTTTTTTTTTTTTTTTTGTTTTTGTTTTTTTTCCTTTTCCTTTTCCTTGTTTATTATGTTCTCTCCCAACAAATGAAAAAAGTTTCTTAATATATTTTAACTTGTTTGCGGTTAATTGTGCTGTTGTATTGCGCAAAGCTACGCAATAAACTAACGATAATATTTACATTGTGAATGAGAAGTCATATAGGAGCTGCACATAAACACATACACATAAATCAACCTCAAATTTGCTTAATGGTCAAACGTTAAGAGTGAATTAACAACAACTAAATGTGAATAATGGATTCGCATAACCGCACAAATAAATTCTATTCCTTTTTGTTTTTTGTTCGTTTTTCATTTTTTCATTTTTTCATTTTTTTTTACATTTATTGTACAATTTTTTTTATTTAATGTTTGTTTGTTGGTTTGTTTGTTTATTTGTTTGTTTTTTTTTTTTTTTTATTTATTTTTTTCTTTTTTCTCTTTTTTCTTGTTGTCTTTTAAGTTTTCAACGTGTTCATAAAAGCATCAAATAGGTCAGTTAGGGTGACGTTATAATTGCAATTGTGATATATACCTTACAAAAGGTATTAGCATGCGTTGTCATTAAAACGATTGCATTATTCCCGCTGGCAGAGATGCTGCTCAAATGAAAGCTAACGAGTAACAACTGCTCTTTCTGGATAACGTTAGGAGCGCCTAGTTAGCCAAGAGGATGCTTACGCTGTTAAATGTTAACAAAGCGTCCGTACTATGTTCAAAAAAGGATTCTCTTCTCAATTTTCCTCGCAGTGAGAGTGTACTGAGCTGCTCTTTTCTGCAAAAACGAAGAAAACACATTGAAGAGCATTTTAACATTAACTGTAAGCACAATGTGAAAGAACATACAATGCCAAAAAAAAAGCATTCTCTTTACTCAATAATAGCTGTGAGCAGGAGCGTAGCTTTATATATAGAAGATAAAGTTCATGGTGAACGTTTTAATGGTTTAGCTTGAAATCTGGAAGAGAGTTATATATAGATATATATATATATATATGTAATCATCTGCATCAAAATCATTTATATTCATAATTATCGTCTCTTAAATAAAACGTCTCCTTCTCAAGTATAAATCAAAGTAAGGCATGCTGTCCTATTGCTGGATAACTGACAAATCCTACTATAAAAATGTGATATCCTTTTTCATACTATCTAGTATTTCACTTTCAATTTTCATACAGTGTCTCAATTATAGGTGAAAAGCTTTTAAAAATAGGACTACGTAAAATTCCTAAACTTTATTAATACATGTTTTTTTTCCTCTTGATAATCTTAAGTGAACTAACTCTTTGGCGAACTTAAATGAATTTCGATCTTAAGGCAAAGAAAGATTTACTGTCGAATCTTATTCTTTAAACAAAAAAGTTACTAGGACTTGTCGCTGCTTTCCCATTTCCTTGTGACCGTGAAAGCACAGCAAAGCTTTAAAATCGGTATAGGAAAGTTTAAGTTAAAAACAGAGGAAATCATCCATTTTTTTAATAATGTTGATAGCCATTCATGAATAATTTGTCAGACGGAAAAATTAATTTGAGACCAAGTTGGTTCATCTGGATGCGACAGTGCGACAGCAGTGACAGGCAGGCATGAGCTAAAGTGTAGTACGACAAAGTACAGATGTCATTAAAGGATACTTGATATAAACCTTCATAATTGAGATATGCACCATCACTCGATACGATCTCTTTTGGTATCTTAACGAATAACTTACGGATCCGAAAGAGGTGGAAGCTTTGGTGTTTTGAAACAAAGTAATCATCGTTACACATATTAACATCGGCCGGTCTTTGCTTGAAATTTTCCGCCTGCTGCCGAATCAGTCGTGAAAACTGGTACTATAAGAAATGCCCATTTCTTGAAAGCAATGCGTAACTGATAAATCGCGGGTCATCATCATCATCATCATCATCATCATCGTTTTTATGTTCAGCCTTAATCGTCAACAAATTGATTGCAACGTTCTGTTAAATTCGCAATTTGACCGTTATGAGAGATGACAACACCGCAATTGGAGTTGTTTTTATTATTCACTTATGGAAATCATTCTCTATTGAGTTGATTGAAGTTTTATAAAAAAAATTTGCCTAATTTGCAAACATTGCTTAATTGCATATGATTAAATGGTAAAAAGGGTGAGGCAAGCAGACATAGTGTTCTTATGAAAAACCGGGAACTTGAGATTTTTATGCGTTATAAACAATCCATAACAATCCGATAATAGACTCATATATTGTTCTCTCTTCTATGAAAGCTTATTGTATTATTTGTAACATGCTTAAGATACCACATTCCATGCTTACATAGTACATATACTTTATAATAAGTGTCGATTCACCTGTGATTTCTTATTGAAGTAATCCACATCAACAAAATGGGGAGAGAATTTTTACCATATTTTTCTATTGATTTATTCAGTCGAATTGAACAATATTACATTAAGATGAAAGGCTTAAGCTGTAATATTATAATGACAGAAAAAAACATCGGCTAGAAGTAATAGAATAAAATGCAAAATAATCAGCTCAAGTGAAGAACTTTCAGCAAACAACTTTTACAATTTTATATATTCGTTGTTTGTCTGTTTGTTGTAAGCATTTTTAGGCTTAAACTACAAGCGAGCTTAAGTTTAAGAATTGATCGCAGCATCGATCAGAAACAAAAGCAGAAACCAATGCAAAAAGTTTACAATATTTTTAAATTTAAAGTAACAACGAGCGAACGTAAGGCCAGATAACTATATCGACAACTATACGAAGGTATGATTTAACGCAGTGAACAGATTCAGCTCGCGAACATCGTCTTGGCGGTAGCGAATCTTATCGCGAAACAATTTGAAGGAAAATGTAAAAAGCTTGATGTGCTTTCATCAATTCATCAATGCGAATAAATTGCGAGAATTATGTAGGAGTATGATAAGGGCTTGACTTTTCCTAAAAACCCTTAATGGACGGCGAAAGCGTGCGAGTTAGTGTCTAATAGATTTTGAATTTACATTAAACTTAAGTCACATTTTGCATCTTTTTTTTTGTTGTTTTTTTTTTTCTTCGGAAAATGTTACTTTTAATTTCCTGGTTGCGTGCGTATTAAGTTAACATGCATAGAGAAGAATGAGATGAGTACTAATCTATTAAATCTTACGCATGCTCCCATTTTTGTTCTTCTTCCTTCCTGTTATTTTCCCTTTTGTCGATTTCTCCCTTAGGTTTATTGTCGTATCTAAGTGTGAACAAGCGAACGTGAATATGCATTGTTTACTGTAAGTGGCACTTTTAAACGGAACGGAATAAGCCATATTATTGTTGATTATTAAGCCTCTAGCGAATAATATAGTAGAAGGCTCGTTTCTGCACTGCCACTGAATACGTTCACAATACTCATGCGATAATGTCTGGCATTAACTGGGTACACACAACTACAAATCAATGATTGTACGACGAGATTGTGCACCATTTTAGTGTATTTTTATTTTTATTATTTTTTTTTTTTTATCTCTCCATCACAGAAGGTAAATTAAAAGGTAAAATTATTTTTAATTTTTTGCAAAAAAAAAAAAAAAAAAAAAAAACCAGAAGCATTAAATACCTTTACAAATTTCATATACTCTTGATTAGAATGAAACTTTGAATTTATTTAATACACTTTGCCTGTCTTTCTGTCTGTTCTGTTTGAAAGAAAAATGACCGCTTCTCTCCATTCACTGCAGGTCGATTGTTTGGAAACCATTTTTTTTTTTTTTTTTTTTTTTTTGCCCAATAATTTTTCCATTATTAAATGCATAACTATTTGTTTGCACTTTGTGTTGGTTTGGCGTTGTTTTCAAGGTGGGTTCATGTGTTGAGCTGTGACTTGAATATATTATGCCAAAATGGTAGCTTATAGCTATTGACGTATACCTAGATCTATAAAGCAATAACGATTGTGTTTACGTCTACATCGCAAATTTCCATATATTTATAGTACTCTCCCGCATTTACATTCCACACCGCTTTTAGTCACGATAAGAGTAAGTCATGTAAGCCACACTGTACCGTGTAGTGTCTGCGTCCGTGCGCTTTTACATTCAACCTACAAAACTCAACTTTTCAGATAATTTAATAAATTATGGCGCTTGGACTTGCTTTGGCTCAAGGATAAACTCTATTCTACATTTTTATACCCAATATGCAAATAATGGAACTATTTGATATAGCTTGGTGCGTTGAAGTACTCTGACGAAAAGATGAGTTCTGTTGAAAATATATTAGATTGGATCATTTTTACGAACATTTCCCAAATAAAGCGATTAACTTACTGTACTAAACAAGTCTATGTATAAGACCAGTCTCTATATAAGCGCTCTCAGGGAACGTAAGCCCTTTTTTTTTTTTTTGTTAGTAGAAAGCATATGTAGTTTTTGGCATTCTACCACCCAAACGAATTGTATTATATACAGTGACGTCAAGCCTCGCATGCTTGTTCTCAATTTCGAAAGCAATTATATAAGAAGAGAAAAACATTAAAATCTGCCGGACTAGAGTGAGAGTTAGGTAAAGAGGAAATTGGAATTTTATTCTTCTTCTGATGAGATATTTGAATTGAACCTTTCCAAATGGTTTGGATCGTACCACTTTTTCGACCACTTCACATTCACAACCCCCGATTTTAAGAAGTCGTTACGTAAATACTTGTAGAGTAGGTAGACCGTGGTTTTTATTTTTTTTTTTATGCTAGATGAAGAAAGTTTTATTGGTCTAAGAAAAAATTTTAAATCATCACAATCGCACATTATGAAATTGTTATCCTCGTAAAAATGTTAAGGAATCGACAAAACTTTTAAATTCGATTAGATCAGATAGTTAAGATCGTTTTAGATATTTTATCTTAACCAAGAGCATTAACATTTTATAATGTTCTTAACATGTAAGTAAGTTTATATGTTCCCGATGTAGTAAAGATACTCGTAGCGTCAGATAGATGTGCGCAAAAAGGGAA